TTTTGCCTTGTGTATCCCGATTACATATTTTTCTCATCTTTTCCCGTTGTAGACTAGTGTAGCCCTAGGGGTTTTTTTACAAAAATTTATTTTATGTGCCGTTTTAATTCCTATGTTATTTTACTTGTCCTCCTGAACTGCAACCTAACCCCAGGGTTGCCTTTGGCCTTCTCTAACCTTCTGACTGTAAACCTATATGGACAGCTCGAACCTGGAATCTCCAGCCCTAACCACTGTAATAAGTCATGATTCCCACAAATTTAATTCTTATTACTCCCTTTACTTCTAAAAAAATAGTTTATACTTGTATCATACTGTTCTTTTTTATACCTAACTCTTGAGATTTAAGTATTTAAAGTTCGATAAAAGTGTTAAATTTTAGTGATATCCATTTTTGTAATTTTCCCTTATATATATCAAAAAATTATAATAGAATATCATATGAGAAATAAATAAAGAAAATTGTTAAAAATAAATTAAAAATGCCTTATAAAAGTATGATAATTCTAACTCGCTGACATCCAGAATATTCGAAAGCTACTGCTAACTGCTAAGGCTTAAAAGGATCGGATTTAAATGGATATTGTCATGGCCAATAAAAATTGTCATGACAGTTAAAACTCTGTTTACCGACTATTTGGTCAACAGATACGAGCAGATCGTACCCCTTACGTCATGACAGTTAAAACCCTAGTTTAACGACCATTCGGTCAACAGATACGAGCAGAAAGAGTTCGTACCTCCTACGTATGGGGAGTAAAGGGCCGACACTGAGTGAGGTCCGTTGTGACAGATGAAATTCTCTCATCGTCCAATCGCTAGACCAGTCAAAGAAAGCGTTCGTAAGTTTTATAAGAACTGGCGTCAAGTAAAACTATATCAACAAATGAAACGCTCATGACTTGACCTCCATAACCGTTAGAGACTACAATTGAGGTGACAGCGTTGGAAACATAACTTACGTAAAATCTTTCGTGATAACTGACTTAAAACTCTCAAATCGAATCCTATTGCTAAGAGAGTCGGAAGCCAAAACCTATACCGTCATATCTCTGACTAGGGTCGTTATAAAGGCTACGGCGACAATATGTTCTTAATTTTTCAAGTAACTATTCTTTATATCAGAGACTGTCACAATCACTTAAACTTACTCGGAGTCGATAAGATCCCTTTAAAATTTTGGTCTTTGAAATAGTTTTAATATATAGAATTACCTTTTAAGCAACATTTAAAGATTCATTAGTGAAACTACATATTTAAGACGTCGATAGATCTCTCAAGGTCAGAAAAACTCTAGAGGTACTTGTTCCGGTAAAATTCTTTCACGGACTACCATCCTGACTATGCCCGTGAAACGATTAAACCGGTAAGTGGAATAATCGATCCGGTCTATCTCTTAGGTAAATTATGTATTCTTCATTCCTAAGAAATCAACGATGATGTTCATAGAGGTTCCTGGAAGAAAATTTCCGAGATTTCAAAAACCAAGAACAAGGTCATGTGTTTATTGTACGTTAGAGGCTTAAAATAGCAACCATGCAACATAAGCAAAACGTTGGTGGTACGTGGTACTCTAATTCCAATAAAAGAAAAAACAAAAAATCAACGACCAGAGGATTTCCAAAAATATAAATAAACATTAATGACAAAAATGACAGTTTTTTTCTTTCCTTTTTTTCCAAAAATTTCCAACCGGCCAACCAGCCCACCTCCCACCTATATAGCTGCAACTGCAACCCTTCTGCATTTGCATTTACTGCTAAAATTAGGCAAGAAAAATGAATGTTGGTTAGCAGTTAGAGAGAGAATTTTTGGATATAAATGATGGTTGTTCTTGTTGCTGTTTCTGGTGTTGATCGATCATCAATAATACTACGTACGATCTTTCATATTAATTGTCAGAATCGTGTCTTTTGTGACGTTTCTTATTCCGGCATGAGTGGTTCTTGAGCATCATCCTTCCTAATTTCTCGTCTGGCATTGGAATCATGAGGTGTGTCACTTCCAATTTTTTTTTAAATGCTCGATTGTGTGATTATAAATATTAATATTACCTGATCTCAAAAAAATAGTCCATAGATTTGAGATTTCTTTCTTGATTAAACCTCACTTAACTTTTTATTTTTGAGTTATACATTCTTTTTCACTTTTTCTTTAGTTTAAATTCTTTACCATAAGGCGAAAAATCATACATAATCACATTAATAAAAACCTTCAAGATAGAAAAGTAATTTCTATTCGCAAGGGATTAAATATGACTCTTTTTGGATAAAAGCAAGTACCAAAGCAGAACAGTTTAGGAGATCACAATCATTACGCGAATCACATTTTGACCGTCCTCAAAATTCAGTTGAAATATCATTGTTGTTCTTTATAATCATTTGGAAGTTGGAACCTTATTGTTAATTTACGGAAAACGGTTGAAATTTAAATATTCTCTTCGATCCAAAATTATTGCCTAATTTTGATTTTTATTTTTAGTACGAATTGAATTAAAAATAAAAATTCAAAGTAAACAATAATTTTGTGATAGAAAAAGTAATTTTTATCACCGAAAATCCTATCTATACTAAGTCGTTGTCGTGAAAATTCGAATAAAACCTAACATTTTATTTGATATCAAGTTGGCCACGTTTATATCAATTGTTCAAGGTTTCAGTTAAAACCTGACCTTAATATAACAGCAGTTTGAATCAACGTGTACTTTAATCATCTAAACTCAACTAATACTATATCGTTATCGTGAGGATATAATTAGAACCTGGAAGTTTACTCGATATCGACTCAACAACAGTTATACCAGTTTTTTTAGGTTTTAGATAGAACCGTCAGTTTATATGACAGCAGTTCGAATCAACATATATTTTCATCGCCGCAAACCCAACCAATACTATATCGTTATTGTGAGAATATAGTTAGAATCTGACAGTTTACTCGATATCGACTCAACAACAGTTATATCAGTTTCCTGAAGTTTCAGAATCTGACCTTCGTATGACAGCAATTTAAATTGACGTATATCTTTTTTTTTGTGGCTGCAATTCTGCCAGCGTTAGATCGTTGTTTACAAGAATTTAGTTGGAATCTAACAGTTAACTCGACAGCAGTTTGACGACAGGTATGTCAGTTCTTCAAGATTTCAATCGTAAATCTGACAGTTAATTTGACAGTATTTCAGCGACAGTTTTATCAGTTCTCCCATATAATTGTTCTTTCGTTTTTCAATGAGAATTTATAAGTGAAATCGATGTTATTCAGATGACAACTGTATTAGTTTTCTATTGGTAGCACAAAATTATTTCATTTGTACTAAATAGTGAAGGAGAAAACTTCATCTTACATGCATACAGAAGAAGTGAAATTGAGGAAAGTAGGTTAAATCAAGAAGACACGAGTATTCTTTGCTTCTTTTCCATAACACAATACAAAAATCTGAGGGAAATTCCATATTTTCTTCGGTTCAGCACCTAAAAATGAAATATGACAAGATAATGTTGGAACAAGTTGGGACTCTAAGGTAGTCCCAACTATTTTTGGTACTCAGGAGTCGTAACATACTGATGGTTGCACTTCAGTGGAGTTTTCAGTTTTGCATGGTCAATTTTGGTCAACCAAATGGCTGGATTGATAATGTATGACAAATATCTATCTGAAATTTCTACTAAATATAGGCTTCACGTTTTGAAGTCAGGAGCATTTTTCGGTGCTCTTGTCGTCCTAAAATAGAAAATCCAACTGTTAAGAAAACTATTCTCTAATAAAGTGTGTTTTTTTTTTCTAAAAAAAAATATTTTTCCCTTTAGAGGGACGAAAAATCTCCAATGGAAATTTACCTTTTTTGGAGACAACAATGGAAATTTACTTGATACCTTACTTATACCTGTACAAATGGGCAATTTTCAAAGAATTTAACTCCTGATTTCTCTTTGTAAAAATTTGTAGATATGTATGGGCTATTCTTAAAGGAAGCCAGAGGATTCTTCATTTGAGTAATTTTTGAGAAAAAAAGATTAAAAAAAAAAAATCTATAAGATATTCCTTGTGAACAAAGTATCAAAATGGCCAAAATTGGTTCATCATCACAATGGAGGAATTTGGACTAAAATAGACTACTTTGAATATAAACTACAGAACAGTCAAAGGATCAATGACTACACCTTTGCTTGATTTTGACGTGAATAATCCCACAAGAATTCCACCACCAAAGGTGCTACTTCAACTCTCACAATGCACGCTTTTACTTCATTGGCTTGCTCATCGACTTCTCAACCCACCTTTTCTTTCTTCTTCTTCTCCTTAAGTTGGGAATATCTTGTTCTATTGTTAGAGAAAATCAGGCCCAATGGAACCCTAGCAACAAAGTCTACAGTTGTGATAAAATGGTAGTCTAAATCATTGTCACTAGACTCTCCAACACAAAATTTTCCCTTAGATCATCAAACACACGGCAACCACTCTACTTGCTGGGCTATAAGTCTATAACACTCGTGGCATTTTTTTGCAGTTAGTAAGAAGTGAACTCACAATCTATACATTCTTGGTATGGCAGATCTTAATTCCAGATAAAGGATAAATGTTTTTTTACGATGTTGTCAACCATACATTGTGAGATGAAAGGCAAGTTTTACAGATTGTTCATAAAATGCATTGATATTGTTGACAAGGAATCTAAAATCAAACAGTCAATGACTAAAAGGCTTTCTTTGAACAGTGAGAACCCAGAAGTTTCTCAACACCTTTTGTTATTGGTTTTATTGATGCAAAAATTACACTTTCTATACTGAACAAGGAGATTCTTGTTGCTTGTACATCTGACCTTTACAAATCCTCAACACCCTCTACATTATCAGATTCTCCAGATCTTATGCTGGAATGGATAAAGGGGCGAGTGGCTTGAGGAAAAGAACAACAAAAATGGGATGTTTAATCTTTTTTTTTTTTTTTTCCTTTTTCTATTTTCTCGTTTTCCTCTTTTCTTATACCGATGATCAACAATTCCTAAAAAAAAAAAAAAAAAACTATACACAGGATCTCCATATCCTTCCCTCCAGAGATATAACAATGATGGAAACATCATCATGGTAGCGCCGTCGATCGCCTTGTGGAATTTCAAGTAGTTCATGAAAGTCCATGCCTGCAAATAAAACAAAAAACCCAAAACAAATTGAGAACACTCTCGGCCAGAGAACATTATTTGTAGAGGCTAACAAATGCATGATGTTTTGTGTCAAGAGGAATAGTTTACCAGCTTTCTTTGCAGCTCGGAAGAGCAATTCCTCAACAAGATGTTGGGCAGGATCGCCTTCTGGGGACCATGTGATGAAAGTTTCGACTTCAGCAACAGCCTCCTCATTTGTGAAGTACTGATACAATCCATCCGAGGACAGTATCAAAAACCTGTCTCGCGGACCTAATTTGTGGTGGTAAAGGGATGGGAGACAATTGATGTACGGGGAAGTTCCAACGTAATCTATTCTGAACATCTCTAGAAGGGCATCGTTCCACTTTGGCTGCAGAGTTAGAAAAGGCACACAAGGAAACTCGTTAGACCAAACAGCTTTCAACCAAAAATATCACAACAGAATATAGTATATGGAACATGCAAATGTTAAGTGAATGAAATGTTCTTTAAAGGAGGTTATGCACTAAGCAGTTCAGTAAACTTTTCAAATTACAATAACAGTGTCCATCTATGAAAATTGATTTATGATAGAAGATTAACTTCATTGACTATGTTCCGCACAACTGAAGCGAGAGCAGATTCTGAAAGAGTTGGCAGAAGTATCTATTAGATTCTCAAGGGATTTTTCGGATCACAAAGTTGTAGTTCCCCGATCATGATGAATATGGTGTGAAAGCGATTGTCAAAGCATAAAGAACTTGTTTTATAGACCACGATATCCTCAATGGAATGCAAAAGAACAACAAATCCTAATGCAAGAATATGCCCCAAAAATAGAAATATGGACCAATTTTTATTCCCTCTATAGCAAAAAGGTTTATCTAAAAGCATTAAACTTTGTTCTCTCATCTTTTCACATTATCTGATTGGTAGAATTGTTCACAAACCAAATTTGAGAATCTACTTTTTCTAACAATTTCAAAAGGAATCAACACAAAACAACTTTGCTAAAAAGTTTCCTATGAAAATCCCTTTCAGAAAGTTTTGACTTTAAGCAGAGCAAGAAGGTCATATTCTACAGTACCTGTTTCAGGAAACCAGCACCAAATGCTCTAGTGACCTTCAGTGAACCTTTAACACGATCATTTGTTATAGCGCAAGCATCGTCAGGGTGCTCCTTTCTAATTCTTTGAACTTCCTGGATAACATTAAACATGAAATTTGAACATTCATCAAGCTAAAGCAAATGAAATAAATTAGACAGCACTTTAAGTTTGTGATCAGTCGAAGTGACTTATTTTATAGGTTTCTTATTTACCTCATCTATGGAAGTGCTATGATCCATGGTAAGCTGAAAAGCACTTAAGCTCGGCAATGTATTTGTTCTGTCGCAATCAGATAACTCAAGCTCATACAAAGTTTCCTCATTTATCCTCTCTAAATCCTGGCTCCATAGATCAGGCTCTTTCTTCTGAGCTAAAACTGCCCGACTATCGCCAACATTCATCACGTAAACATCTTCTCCTTTCATAAGCATCACGAGGAGACAGGAGCCCATTAACGCCAACTCGGGGTTTTCCATGACCATCTTATCAGCAAGATCCAAATAGGCCTCTTCAGTCTTCTTAAGTGCCTGTGAAAGTGCTTTAAGAACATCTCCATGATTAATGGATGATCCGTTCTTGTTCAAGAATTGCTCCTTCAACCTCCGATCAAGCTCCAATCTTTCCCTATCAAATTCGCACCTCCATTTCCTCTGATTCTCTTCCCGTTTCTTCGCAACTCCTCTGTACTTACTCCTACTAGAACTTTTCCGGTTCTTCTTATTAATCCACCCATTCCCAACAGGATAGCTATCCTCCTCCACACTTCTTGAACAGCCATCACTAGTCCTGTCTCTAGAAACATGATTCAAATCATCCATATTTCCGGGATTCGGATTCTCAACAGCTGCAGCAGCAGAGGAACTGTTATTCAAAGAATCAAGCTTTGAATCATCCCATAACAATCCCTTAAGCTCCTTATGAACAGCTGAATACAAATTGGACAACAAATAATCCGGGGCATCAGGGCCATTGAATCCATCATAAATCCCAACAAATACCCATCCGTGCTCCTCAGAAACAACCACGTGGACCCTGTCCTCCCCAGCTTTACCTTGAGCCCATTGAAGATTCTGACTTTCTAATGAATCATCATCATCTAATAAGCTACTGCTACCTTCACTACTTAAATTAACACTACTAATTGTCAACTCATTTTGCTTCTCAGAGCCACCCATAATCCAATCATTTTCTTTCAAAGAAACAACGCTTTTAAGCGGGGCAACAATCGAATTCTGACCTCTGATTATGGTCTTGGATAAAGCTCTCTGAAGGACCCGAATCAACGACCCTGTTCTTGATCTGGACCGCAACGCAAAACCATGGGAGAAGCTCCTCTGAAACTGATCAGAGGAACCTTTCTCTAGAGGGCCGGAGAAGATCCCCCGATCAAGAGGACCCGAAAGGAACCCTCTCTCAATCGGGCCGGACATAAAGCCACGTTCAATCGGGCCGGAGCTCGGAATGAGCCCGGAACTGGATATGGGGCCGGAGTACCCGGCCGAACTCCTCGGGATTGGCTGTAACGGAATTGAAGCAAAGGAGGTGGAGCTCTCGAAAGCGGCGGCGGCGGACGCCCTGCTGTCGATGCTGTTGTAACTGTAAAGATCGACGAACGCCGTGGAGAGCGGCGTCGAGGTGTTGGCGCTCACGGAGGCGCCGGAGATGGACTTAAACGTCGTCGTTGAGGAAGTGGCATTAGTATTGGGATTGTTCTCGGTTGCACCCTCGTCGGAATGGACCTTGGAGGAAGAAGCCCGAGTCGGATCGGGTCGGACGTAGCAGAATGAATGACCCAGATCATCTAAAGGGTCGGAAACCACGGCAGCTAAGTCTTTCCTCCTCCGACCAGCTTCGTAGAGCCCACCACCGCCGCCGCTGAAGCACGTGCTGCATCCATTACCCATTTTTTCCAACCAAAATCAAACTCAGAAAAAGAATTAAATAAATAAAAGTGACCCAAGTTTAATTGTGAAGAAAAAATCTACAAAAAGATTATATGGGGTTGTTTAGGAATCATTGAATGGAGACGAAAGGAAGAAGAATTGGAAGAGAAGCTGCAAAGAAGAAAAGAAGAAGAAGAAGAAGATTGAGCTGTGGTGGCTGGCTGGGGGTGAAGTAGAGAGATAGAGAGAGAGAGAAAGAGAGAAAAAAGAGTGAAAGAGAGAGGCGTTGACTTTTGCGAGTGTTTGAAAGTAGTAATAAAAACAGATGGAGTACTCTAAAAAAGCTTTTTTATTTTTGTGATGGAAATTTTTGGTCTTGGGCTTTCGGTTTTTGTAGTACTTCTTTTTTCCTCATTAAATGCATTTTTGAAAATTTAGTTAGTGTGGGGGGCGTTGACTGATGGGGTACCCGTCCACAGTTGCACAGTTATGGTGTAAAAACTAAAATCGGTCCATGATGTTTTTATTTAAGGTTTTACTGAAATTTTCAAGCAAAAAATTTAAAATCATTAGTTTTGGGAAGGTTTAATTTTTTTTATGTTGTATGTATAGCTGAGGCCTTAGCGCGTGCATTAGAAGATCCACTTTGGTGAATCATTATAATTCACTATATCCGTCCCAGAAAAATAGTCTAATTTAAAAAAAAAACTAAAATAAAAAAATTTAATGGACTAATCTTGCAAATTAAAAAATTAATATGAAAAATAGAATTAAATTTCATGACTATTTATTAAGTTAATAATTAATTTTAGGTTATACCAAACTTATAAATCCAATTTTAAGATTTATATTTCTATAATTAACCAATTGTTTGGGACATGGGTGGTACATTTTTTCTTTAACTTTAGAATATTTTATCCTTTTTTAAAGAATAGCAGGATATTGCAATTCTTTTAATGTTTAAACAAAAAATTGCTATCCATGTGAATTGTATATATCATTACAATCTATTTTTCACATTTTTATAGTTTCGTTGTTCACATTATTTTTCCAAAATCATGTTTCCCAACCATCATACAAACTCAACTATCCATAAGTTACTTATGATCATCATTATACTCCACCTGTCCCAAAAAAAAAGATAGTCAGCATTGAGTTTCGAGTTTTGTACTATTTTTAGTACAAATTTATAAACTCAATGTGGACTATTTTTGTAGGACGGAGGTAGTAATATGTTTTGTCACTACACTTATCATTTTCTATATGTATATGTATATACATATACATATATCTATATATATCGCCAAAGAATCTTTTGTCATACATAATTTTCGATCAATACAAATGCAATAAAAAATAATTTAGATAGATATCTTCAAAAAATATTTGATCATACGATTATATCCACGCGCTTATAAGTATTATTAAAAATCATGAATATTTACATTTTACCAATAACATGTTATAGGCATCACTGAACATTACGTATATATATTTGTATGATAATAGAATAAATATATACATATAAATATTATTGACTAAACTGTCACAAAATATTTAAGTTTACGTGTAACTTATTTTATGGTGAAAGTACTTATATTGTATTTGGTTCAATTTACTCTAATCCAATATAAATACTCAAATTTGTCAAAGTGACTACAATAGGCTCAATGTTCAAATTGAGCCTATAATTTTATTTATTTTTCCGTTCATGATCAGACAACAATAAGATCAAAACTCTGTTCACAACACATACTCATGTACTATTTATTTATTTTGTTTGTAATTTCAGAAAGAGGGCAAAAAAAATATTGTAAAATGTGGAATAAAGAGAGTGAGTAACACGTACAAAATCGGGCGAGTAAGAGGGAAATAAGTGTCGTGTATTACGGTAGTGATCGAAGAAGTCAAAGAAGGAAAGTCCAAATAAATATAGATCTGGGAAAGTGTGCCATGATCACCGTTGGATCAAGAGTACAACTAGTACTACTAATTTTGATAAATGGCATTGTTTGTCGACACGTGGCAGCTGACAAATTGCCACTGCTTGAACGTTCGGCCTATTTGTCAACTTGAGATTCGGGACCTTTTTTCCCCCCCGTTTTTTTTTTCCCAGTCTGAATTTGCCAATCATATTAAAAATAAAAAATTTAAATTGAACTACATAAATTTAGAAAAAGGAGTATTATTTTTTTTCCGTTCAATGACTCTCTCTTCCTGTTTTCTTTGATTAGTAAATTAATTTAATTAAGCAAAATAGATAGGACTATCTTTGACATATATTCGCCCATTCTAATATAATTCTTCAATTAGATTTTTTACTTTTATAATTTTATATTAATATTAAAAATTAAATTGAAAAATCATTTTAGGACGGAAGAAAATCATAATGAGTTTTTTTTTTTTTGTGTTATGGTAATATTTGAAAATTTACAATATATAAAGGGGGAGTTCGACCGGCCATGGACCTGTTTAGGTACGATGGTCGGTCACTCCCCGTACACGTATTTTTTCTTTTTTCTCGGTGTATTATTACATATACTTTTATTGAAATAAAATTAAAATGATAATTAAAAATTGAAAGCCATGAGTCGTACTTTTAATTTAATTTAAACTACAACACATCATATAATAATTATAATAATTATATTTTTTCATGTCTATCATATTATTTATGATATCAGTTCATTAAATGATTTTGCATTGAGATAATGTTAAAAAAAAATTTCTACCTTCAAATAATATTTTCTCAAAAAAAAGAACATGATATCAGGGATTAGTTCGATATATTTATTCTGGTGTGGTGGGGTGGTTGAAACTCTACTTAAATATACACATTTATTATGGCCTTAGTGTTTTAGGTGGCTTGACTAACACTACTATTTGTCTGTCCTTTTGTTGACTTTCCAATATATTCATTGACTCTACAATTACAAAAGAGAAGCAAATCAATCCACAAAATCAAATTTCATTATACAAATTGCAAATTGTACAAAAAGGTTAATCACTAATCAAAGTATATTTTAAGAAATTAAAAAAAATTATCTAAATGACATCAATACCATGATTTAGTACTAGTACTAAGCACTGTTCACTTTGAAGTGGTGGATGATTCATGAATAAACTAAAGAACGTGGTTTACAATCATTTTAACTCATTGACCATTTTGTTCATTGGGTCGTTCACATATAATTTGAGTACCTAATTAATTTTATCCTTTTTTTTAATTAATACAATAGCTTTTGCAAAAAGTCAGCCTAATTTAATGAGTTCTTGATGGGATTTAATTAATTAGTAGTAATTAATTACGGTTTGTTTTTTTAGGTTTCTTTCGGTGAAGTACTTATTTGCTTGATAGCTACTCCTAGAAGTAATTAAGTACAATGAATTCGTCCATAATAACAAGCCAGTTAAAAACTTGATTAATATTTCGCTCACATGACACGATTTTGACTTTTAACATTTTGAATGTTCTAGGCTTGTGATAATAAGTTAATGATATAAATTCCTAATCTTAGAAACATAAATTTATTTGACAATTGTGTACATTTCTCTTTTTTGTTTTTTTTTTCCCCTGTGAATTTGCACTTTGTACCAACACTTTGACATCAAGATTTCAGAGTATGGGAATTGAGTAGTTGCTTGACGATTTAATTACGAGATTGATGGTTCACTGTTTATTGCTGATTCGAGTATTACACAAATGCAGAAGAATCTAAGAGGTTGTATGGCCAGCTTTTATTTTGTATTTTGTGGCTCACTTTACCTCTTCAACACAAAACCCAACACACTATCTATACAATATTTTAATTTACTTTTTAAAAAATATTTCAATATTGTTTTTCCAAAATTTTCGTCCACCACCACCAGACCGTCGAACAGTCGCCGGCCGGCTGAATTCCGGCGAGTTGGCCAGAATCTGGCCGGTCGCCGTCCGGCGGCGACAAGGGGGCGACCCGGCGGTGGTGGAGGTGGTCAGATAGTGGTGAAAAATATTATTATTTTATTTAAAATACATCCATACAACTTTTTAAATTTTCTTTCAAACCATATTTTAAATCACATCTCAAACTCAAACTAAAATCCAAATAAAAAACTAAAATAAACCATTGTCCATACAAGCCTTAAGTATTTAAACGTGCTATCTACCTCATTAATGCTTTATCAATCCTACTTAATCCTAAAATTGCGTTCAATTTTTTTTAATTCCTTTTTGAGAGGGTCATTGGCTAGGGTGGAGAACTATAAAGTTATAAAGATGAAAGACAACAAAGAATGATGTAAAACATATCATAATTTGGGGACAAATAAATGATATCACAAAATTGGATGTGACAGAAAAAAATCATAAGTTTATATTATAATTTAAGAATAATATAAGATACACAAAAACTATAGGGCTCATCAAGTTTTCCACTTCCATAATTACATCCCATTAGAGAATTTTCAAAGGTATCATCATTTGATATTTGCGAGTGGAAAGCTCTTCTAAGCCACAATCATCTCCACAATCTCTTTTGTCTGGCCCATTTAACCCCTTTTGTTTCTCCCTTTTTGTCCTTTTTCCATGTCTAAGGGATTGTTCTTATATAATAACTATGGTGTGTGTGGTAGTGCCATTTTGTAAATTGTTAGTGCGAGGACGAGAGACAAATGCAATTTAATTGGTAGTTTTGGTTTATAAAATTATAATGTTAGACCTTAATAATACGATCGAAAGAGAGATTTTTTTTTTTGCACATTTTGAACTTATATATAATGTTGTACCTTAATTACACCAAACAATAGTCCACGCCTCTTTTTTATGTTCACACAGTAATTGTGTGTTAAATCATTAGGGGAAAAAGAGTAGTGCTTGATCTATTCTCTTTATTCCATCCATAAAGCACGGTTAAATATGACTTCTTTTTTCTTCTTTGAGCATTGATACGAGGTTCAACTCTCACTATCCTAAAACTAATGGGAAAAAAAATGCTAACACTGTAATTTCATCATGCCTGCCTTTCCCACTTTATTCTTCTTCTCCCTGTAATTTTAGTTTGTTCTTCTTCTTTTCTTTTTTTTTCTTTTTCTTATAATACAAACAAGTGTGTTAATGACAAATTTAGTGGTTTAAAGTTTTAAAAAATTACTACTAAGTACACAAATTAAAAAAAAATACTAAAAAATAAAAAGGAAGAGACAAACAAACAAACATATCTCCCAAGGGGGACGAAATTCACATTTAACTTAAATTTGAATTGAAACTGTAAATATAGTTATAAGTTAACAAATAATTTCTTCTTCTTTTTTTTTTCAGGATGAAAGTAGTATTTGTTTAATTTTGGTGAGGTAATTCACACCTCATTCTGTGAAGATTAAATCGAAGTTGGTTAAACC